AAGGTTGTGAAAAGGTAAAAATCTTACTTTTAAACAAACTAATTCATTAAGAAAAATTACAAGATCCACGACTACTGACGAAACGTAAAACCAAATACACTCTCACAACCAATATCGTTAGAAAACGAAGTGATTCGGTCTCGAATCAATAACAAAACAAAAATCAATAAACCATAGTATTTCAATAAACACGTGATAACTACGAGGAGTCAACATTCAATCTTTGGTCTTGAAAGTTTCAAATCGTGCTTGTTGGGCCTTGCTAGCCCAATAGCATGATCTTTGGGCCCGAAGGGAACACGCTTACATGTTAATGGGCCTTCTATGACCTAATTACATGTAAAAGGACTTTCAATAGCTCTATTGTGCTATTGGGCCCTAATGGTCCATTAGTACTGCTAGTGAGGTAGTGAAGTCAAATGCAAGTCGGGCCTAGTGCCTTTCGCATTCCCGATAGCCTTGAATAATTTATGGAAATAAAGGGGGCTTCGTACCCTCCTTTCTCCTCGGTTGTTAGGCTTATGAGAATTCGAGTAATCAGATTCGTGGCGTTAATCAAGAGAAGTCAGGGTGGTTGGATTGTGTGAGTAGTACGGACGACGCCTTAGGGATCGTTCGTAACCTGTAGTTATAAACTAATCATTTTCATTAATGCGTGATTGTAACCACTCACAAACCCTAGTTAATCCAATGTCACCTGGGTAATCAAAAACATTCGTTGTATCGGTATAACAAGAAACAAGTCATGAAATTTGCGTATTGGGGAAAATATCGGGTTTTCCCGGAAAGTTCAACATTTTCACCTATGTGATGTATACAAAGTTCAACAATTATACATGTTTTCAAAATCGACAAGCATATTTACGGATCTTCACTTTTTTTTTCTTTTAAGAAAATATCGGATTTTCTGGGTGTTTCAAACTTCACAAAAATCATTTTTCCATAACATTACTTATGAACTCACCAACATTTCATATGTTGACGTTTTTCAAAATAACTTGTATTCTCAGGTAATAGGTAAGCCGGAGAATAAGTACCAAGTCATGTCATGGTGTTTTGATTAAACTATCTATTAGACAGTCGATGTTATGGAATTGTAACGTTTAAACAATGTACTGAATGTAAACAATATCAGTTGTAATATTCCAATGCATGGTGATGATTTGTGTTATGATTCATGTATATTCATTGTGATGGTATTCAATTTGAGTCACAAGAGCCCTCGAACGTTTCCGCCGTTTGGTTCGGGGGTGTGACAACCATGTTTTAAGAAATAAGTATATACAATTGATATCTTAAGTGGATAAATAAATATAAAAAAAGACATTATTATTTTTTTTCGCTACATAATACATACCAAAAACTTTCATTATCTAATATCAGTCATACCATCTTCACGTTGAGCACCCTAAACTCTAAATTCTTAACTCTAGACACAGACCCTAAACTATAAACCCTAAATTCCAATACCCAAAACACGAAATTCTAAATTTGATGACTTAAACGGAACTACTCTAAGAAAAACCATTCACTGTCCGTCGAAAGGAATGTGATGCATCGAACAATTTTTTTTTTCACCGTACCACTTCCCCCCCCCCCCTCTCTCTCTCTCCCTCCCTCTCTCAACCTTGGACGTTGATGGACATATATTGTGAATCTCTTAACCATTCGTCACCAATGTAGGTATTTATCTTATAGACCAAGTATTCCTGTATGGCCAACATTATGTTGTATTTTCCAGAGAGGTCTCATTTGCAAATACAAAAGTATTAGTAAAATTTTGATAAAACTCTTCCATGTTTGGTTGAAAATTTTGACAAGATATTCATTATCGTATTAAAGTTATATTCTCAATTAGACATGGATTGAGGTTTAATCGTTTCATTTTGTTATGCAGGAACAAAACACACTCATAATGAGGTTTCTTTTAGCTTTGGATTTAATATGATTATTTGACCTACTCTACATTTTTATTAAATGTAATGCAATGCTTTTCTTATATTTAAGGAAGTGAGTTTTCTCTAATTATAAGTTTACCGCAAGTTCTCTGATTAATCTTTTGGTTTAAAGCCTAACAAAAAATTTGAAGGTGATGAGAGTCTATACAACTAACGTGGTGCATAAAAAAGTGTTGTGATTAATAATGTATAAACAATCGTATGTTATTATATATTTTCATATTTTGTATATATTTATATAATTCTATTATTTTTGTTTGAATCGCTAACACATTTCATATTTTGTATCGCCTTAAATCATTTATTTTTATCAATTTGTCACCGCAGATTTGCGCGGGTCCACCGCTAGTGTGTGTGTATATATATATATATATATATATATATATATATATATATATATATATATATAGTTTTGAAAAAACAAGACAAATCGATTATTTTAAGATTTTAGAAAAGAAATTTGAACGAAACCACAATAAAACTTCTATTTTAAACAAGTGATGCTGGTATAAAGTTTTTTGAAAAAAAGTGACAATTTTTTACTAAACATAAAAAGTAGAATTATTGGAATTTCGTCATAACCAAGCACCATAATTATAAAACAAATTTGCAAATTTTGTCCTTATTGTTTACTAATTTCTTTAGAATGAGTTTGAAAACTATTGATATGGTTTGTTTTTGTATTTTGACAAAAATTGCAAGATGGTCCCTGTGGTATGTCAAAACTAGCAATTTTGGTCCGAAATAAGTTTGGCTTGCAAGGATGGTCCAATAGTTTCGTGTTATTGCGAGTTTAGTCCAAAAATTATAAAACTTTTTATAATGATGGATCTGCCCTTGGTATTTTCCATTTTAAAATTTTTTTTATTACAGAAATAAAAAAAAAGAAAAAAAGAAAATGTCTTTCTCTCTCTCTCTCTCTCTCTCTCTATATATATATATATATATATATATATATATATATATATATACACACACACACACACACACACACACAACACATCTTATTCATTATGAGAAGAGGGTTTCGGTAAAGAGGGCGAATGAGGCTTCTCGTGAAGATGTTTCCGGTGAAGATGCTTCCGGCGAAGGTGCTTCCGGTGAAGAGGGTTCCATCAACCGAGGCTTCTGGTGGATTATCGTCATCACTGCTATCCTTCTTCCCAAATGCTGATGGTTGTGGGGGTTTTTAGATCTGATTTAATGTTGTTTTATTGTGGCGGCAAGATTAGGGTTTCGTTGGTTCGTGCTTATTTTCCTCTAACTGATACAATGGTGGCTAGATTAGGTTTTAGGGTAGCGATGTAATAGGGTTCTTATACCCAAATTTTTGCGAAGCCTAAGGTGTAACTACCACCGTCACCTCCATACAGGCGATGATTCCGTGTATGTGATGTCTTTGGCTCTAGTGACATTTCAGGCGATGTTGAAGCCAAAACGGAAACGAGAAGGGTTTTTTTAGAGGTGCAATTCTACTGAAACAAGATCAGGTGTAACTCTGCATGTAATCATCTCATGTGTTCCACACTCCAATCAATTGTTCTTGTTACAAATTTGATTGTTCTTGTGGGTTTAAAAATCTAGTTGTTCTTGATTTTAAAGATGCAGATCAGGAAAAAAATATGTTTGAATTCATCATACGGTGGTGGTAGTTATTGAGTTTCATTTTGAAATTGTAGATGCAGATTTATATGATGGTGGTGGAAAAAATATGTTTGAATTCATCGGATGGTGTTGGCGGTGACCGGCGGTCACAGTGGCAATGGCTATTGTTGGTGACCAACAGTGGTGGTAGCGGTAGTGCTCGTGACAGACGGTGGTGGTGATAACATATCAATACTTGTATGCTAGAGAGGGTGGAGGGGTGGGGTAGGGATAGTGGTAGTATTATTTTGGTTTAATTATGTAAATTGTAAAATGTATTTATATAAATTAAAAAAAAAAACCAAAAGTAAGGGCAAAAACATCATTATAAAAAAGTTTAAATTGACTTGGACCAAATCCGCAACAAAAATGAAAAGTTTGGACTAAACTCGCAACAAAACGAAACTATTGGACCATCCTTGCGAGCCAAACCCATTTTGGACAAAAGTTGCTAGTTTTGACATACCACAGGGACCATTCTTACAAGTTTGTCTTGTATTTTTTCATTATGGATTTGGTCATTTTCAAATTTAAAAAAGACTATTTTACTTTTTTTTTGATTTATTTTCTACAATTTAATTAGTACTTTAAAGGATCTCTCTCTCTCTCTCTCTCTCTCTCTCTCTCTCTCTCTCTCTCTCTCTCTCTCTCTCTCTCTCTCTCAAACACACACAAACCAACACACACCATTGGAAGCTACCAGAAAACACAAATATTTTCTTCAGATTCAGTGGTGTCGATTTTGTATCTCAACCTCTCATACGGCTCGTTGCTACACAAGTAGTAGAAAGCGATATCACTATATAATAACATGTTTTTGTATAGGATTATAGTTACAAAACAAAAGATATTGATGATTTTGTTATTGGATGACCTATATATTTACGAAAATAGAAAAAATGAAATGGATGAATGATTATTTGGTCATATACACACGAGCTTATAGTCTAGAGGTATCTAGTGTTGCTCTCCCTCACTGAGGGTGAAGGTTTACGTTCCGTCATGAACATATATGGATTTAAAACGTAGTTAAGGATTAGGTTAGATTTGCCGTTTTAAAAAAAATTATTTGGTCATATGTGAGGAAAGGGGTGTTTAAAGGTAGTCATGTTAGAGCTTACTTGACTTCCTTTTATGGAGATTGAAATTAGAATCTCCTCGTTAGTAAGAGAGATAGAAGCAAAAAAATAGTAAATCTTATATTTTATGGAAAGTGCCATTATATGAAAGGTTGTAAATCTAGTAACAAACATTGCAGTTGCAATTCTAGTTTATTTTGGTTAGAAATCTAAATATCTAATATGATAAGCTCTTAATATTATCATATTCATTTCATCCAAAACTATACTTCCCTCATATAAATTCAGGTTTAACACATTGTATAAGAATTCTTTTCCATCAAAAGAACATTGGTGAAAACACGTCATCACTTGATGATAGGACCACGTCATTGTCAAGTAAAAATGGCTCAGTCCAGAAACTTTTGACGGAATCAAAATAATGTGGTTTAACATTGCTCGAAACTGCATAACTTGAGTCACTCAACCAATGTTGTGGCTGTTCACTTGTTGAAGATGATGGCATTCCAGATGATAGTACTTTCAATAAAATTCCAACTTCCTCTTGGGCTTCTAAATCTGATATTTTTGCAGGGCAGCCTTTGTGGTTACCCGATTCAGAATTTCCAACTTGTTCGTTTGTTGACACAATTTCATCTTTCCGGACGTGATTTTTCAAATGTGTGTGCCAGTGGTTTTTTATTTCATTGTCGCTTCTTCCAGGCAATTGTGCAGCCATCACTGACCATCTGTGGATATAACAATATGATTCTTTTTAGATTAAATATATCTAAGTGAAAGTTTGAAAAGAATTAACTTGTTATAGCAAGGGGTTAAATCATTTGAATCTACTTGCTGCCAAGCTTTTTATGTAAATCCAAAATGACATCATCTTCTTCTTTTGTAAATTTCCCACGCCTTAGGTTTGGGCGCAAATAATTCATCCACCTCAACCTACAACTCTTCCCACATCTAGATAAACCTTAACAAAAGAAAGAAATGAAGTATATATATGAGCAGTTGTACACATATATCTGAAAGTTTTTATATGAAATTAGAAAATGAAACGTACCAGCCAACTTGGGAAGTTCACGCCAGTTACGGTGACCATGTCTTTCAATGTAGAGTCTTAACTTACTATCTTCCTCTTCACTCCATGCACCTTTTTTAATTCCATCTTTGTCGAAACAAGGTGCCTTCACCATCTTCTTATGTTGCTATATCAAGTGATGAATAGTTAAGCTTGTGGGTGTAAATATCCTGTCTTATTTATACCAACAAAAAAAGCCAAACGTGTTTAACGCTGTTTGACGCTGTTTGACCTGAAAAAAAAAAGTTTCTTTTTGTTTACACCATCCAAGTCCTATCTATTAATTTGTCTTCCAAAACAAAACCCACTCTTCTTTTTCATATTGATTCAGTGTTATGTTCATCAACATCCATACCACGTGCCTCTCTCTCTCTCTCTCTCTCTCTCTCTCTCTCTCTCTCTCTCTCTCTCTCTCTCTCTCTCTCTCTCTCTCTCTCTCTCTCTCTCTCTCTCTCTCTCTCTCTCTCTCTCTCTCTCTCTCTCTCTCTCAATAAATAAATAAATAAATATAATTGAAAAATATCATCTAATTTAACTAGAATAATATTTTAGTCAATTAATATAGATTTAATAAAAGAAATTTGCATATTTTAAAAGATCATAGATTATGTTAATTTTAAAAATTCTATTTTACGAATTATAATATATTTAATTCGGACATTCTGACAAAATATGTTTGAGTATGTTCACAAATAAGAATATTTTTGAACCATAAAATAATAAAAATATTCTTGAACATATTTCTTGATCATGACTTTAAAAATTTCTTGTGGAATAACAAAATTTTCGAACCATCAATTGAAGAATTAAAACAAAAATTACATTAACTCTTATAGAATACATGTAACAATTACTAATAATTACATTTATTGTTAATGAATAAAACTAAAAAACTTTTAAATCGGTAAAAAAAACATCGAAATCTAACAAATACACTAATTCATTCTAAAAGAATAATGTTGCTAAGAAACATTTTCAATTTTGTTGTCTCTTTTTCAAGCATCAACTTCTGTGAAAACAAATCCAATTGTAGTTTAGAATCCAATAACGCATTAGCGAATGGTAAATAAAAAAGCCTATATTCCTTTGGAAAAATATGCGGAATTGTTAACTGCACTAAAACCAATAACCAAAAATTGTAGAACATGTATAATCAATGAGAAAATATTCATATTCCATTCCAACAGAAACCGAATTTGTGTTTCCATTCCGATAGAATTTGAATTCATGATTTCATTCCGATAGAATTGGAATTGTATAAAATACACAAACTGCTAAGGTATTACTAGAAAGTAGTTTCATAAGTTGATGGACAAATATATGAATCATACACAGAAAAAAGGAGTACAATTTGTGACAACTTGGGCGCCTCTTACAAATGGCCGTGGATAACATTGTATGGGATGAAGATGAAAAATAAAAAAACTAAATTCTTTTGCTAAAATATGCGGACTTGTAAATTGCACCAAACCAATAACCAAGAATGTTGAACACGCATAAATCAGTGAGAAAATAGTTATATTTCATTCCAACAGAATTAAAATTCATTATTCCATTCTAATAAAATTGAATTCGTGATTCTATTCTGATGGAATTCAATTGTAGAAAATACACAAATCACAAAGGAAATATCGAGATTTAATTCCCACAGAATTGGAATTGGCCACCATATGTAAGAAATCAGTGCAAATATGATTAAGTTCTTCCAACTTGCCATTACAAATGAAATATTTGACCAAGCATATGTCAATCAGAAGCAATGAATAAGTATGAAACAGAATATGAAAGATATTAAGCAAACATATCATGTATGTATGTATGTATAAGTTATGACTGTTCAAAATTTGAATGGCATGTGGATACATATAACAAAGCATGCAAGTTTGAGTATGTAGAAAAGGTTACACAAATCTAGTCTCTAATGCAAAAAATTTCTTTGGTTAAATATATAAAAACAACTTTCCGTGATAAACATAAAGTTTAACTCGAAAGAGGAAAAAACCAACCAAGATGAAAAGAAAGAAATTACAGGTGCGTTCCATGGTCAAACACCGTTCTAAGAAAATGAAAAAAAAAAAAACAATTGATAGTTTCACCAATACATAAATAAGGTGAGTTTGAAGATGGGAAAGTGTTTTATTAACACTCTTTACTCGATTCCTCTGAAATTAAACAGAACACACAACTTGATTCACAACAAAAACGAAAAACAGAGTTAAAATATGAGAAGACATTTTGTCTAATAGCTGGTAGTCTTCTTTGAATACAGTAGCAAATGAAAAAATTTTGCCAAGTGGTTTTCGGAAAACAACCTGATATCAGCAAACTTTGACTCAAGGTTGATTGTTAAAATTATAAATTTCTACAAAGTCTAAAAATACTAACAAAAGAAATACGTAATGAAAAAAATTATATACAAAAAATGAATGATTAAAAGCATAGGTTTGAAGCTAGTGGCAAAATTCAAGGGAAGGGATGTCCATTACCAGGTTATTTAGCATGTGCACTGCAAGGTTCCTTCGCCAATTCGGACGAATTCGGTGAATCAGACATCGATTGAGGGTGGAGATGTTTACCGATAGCCATAAAAGCGAATGACGGGTGGAGATCGGCAACAACAACAAACGATGGTGTTCATCGATGAGTAATTGTCGATGTCGATCGGAGATGGCGATGGCAATCGATTTTTATAAAACTCAAGATCGATTTTGTAGTCTATTCAAATTTTGTAGATCGGCCAAGATTTGGTTTTTAGATAAAAATGGGAACAACTCTAGATATAAACTTGGAGAAATCAGGCTAGTAGTCAATACCATGATTATAGGGATTATTTTTGGAAGTTATTAATCAAATACTAAATTACCCTTATTTATTTATTTAATTATTTAATTATTTATTTAGTTTTGATTGACTCGTATAAAATCACACAATAATAATTATTTTGAACACCTGAACCTCTCTCTCTCTCTCTCTCTCTCTCTCTATATATATATATATATATATATATATATATATATATATATATATATATATATATATATATATAAAGTCAGATTCATATGAGACGGCTTAATTTTGTGAGATCGTGAAACGCAATCTTACATACTCATTTTGTAGATAAAAAACATTTTTAAACTGCAAAATCATTGAAATTTTTTGAAATTTTTTTTAACAATTATTTTCGTTATTTATATTTTCCAAAAAAACTAAATTAAAATAAAAATAATTACTGTTTTTTTTACAAATTCTAGTAGAATATTAGAATATTCTACTAGAATATTTGATTATTTTACATATCTGACAAATCTAGTAAAATACTAGAATACTCTAATATTCTAAAAATCACATTAGAATATTTATAGTGTAATATTTCATTAAAATATTTCACGTATTTTCTCGAAAAAACGCTAATTTTTATTTAATTAACTTTCTTCGTTAATAAAATGATGAAAATAATAATTAAAAAAAAGTTGTTTGGCTTTATTCTTTTATTTTGCATTTTAAATTTAATTTTTGATTGCGTTTTACAGTTTCATAAAATTAAAATGGTTTCAAATGAACATGAATATATATATATATATATATATATATATATATATATATATATATATATATATATATATATATATATATATATATATATATATATATATATATATAATCAAGATCAAATAAGAAGGATATTTTTTGTAGGAAGGTAAGAAGTTTTTTTTCTACATATTTTTTTTGCGAACAAACAAAATGAATAATTAGATGATTCATTTGTAAGATGATTCAAAAGAAAAAATTCTCAAAAAAACATCTCGATGATTCATTTATACAATGATTTTATTGTTATTCACTAAAATTATCATAAAATTATTTCTTAATTTAGTTAAAAATGAATCATAAATATGTTTTTTTGGGAATTTTTTCTTATGAATCATCTTAAAAATGAATCATCTAGTGATTCATTTATTTTGTTCGTCAAAAATATATGTAAAAAAAAAACTTCTTACCTTTCTACCAAAAAAAATTTCTTACCGGATCTATATATATATATATATATATATATATATATATATATATATATATATATATATATATATATATATATAAGACAATTAACATGAAACCAAAAAAAATGTCAAATAAGTAATTTTAAAATTTATCAATCATAAGGTTAAATCTAACAAATCAATAAATTGAGATTCATATTTATTTTTATTCACATTCACATTCAACCATCTCTCTCTCTCTCACACACACATACACACACTTTGAATCACATCGCAAATTCAATAGGAGGACAAAATCACCACCGGCAAACCCCCTTACGAGACAACTACCCACCGATTGAATCGTGATCCATGTGTTCTTCGTATTCATCGAAACCACCACCATCCAGTGTAATTTTGTCAAAAGAAAAACAACAAAAATAGAATTTAAAAGTAATTGATTGCATCGAATAATGTCAACTAATGATGATTGTTAAAGTTAATTTTGTAGTAGGATATGTACTAACTAAATGTTGGTACAAATGATTTTTCTATTATTTTTAAAAGATATTAAAAATTCGATATCCTCATTACAAAGTTAATATTGCTACTAACATGCAGTTATAGTTATAGTTATAGTTATAGGGGTGTAACCAATAGGTAGCTAGGTGTAGTCTGTTAGAAAGGTGGACAAAAATTGTTTAGGTGCTGATGTTGCATTCTTTCGAGTCTTCTTTCCCACATTATTTAACCACAATACCGAGAATGAATAAGGGGTTGTTTGATAGTTAATGACTGGGTTAGAAGTTTTGACTAAATTAACTTTTAACTAAAATTTGTTTGATTTTTCATCTGACTGACTATATAAAAGGACTATGTTACACTCAAAAGCATTTTTTATAATAATTAATTGGGTTAATGGCTCAAGTAAAACACAAAAAAAAGTCATTCTCTTAAAAACCCTTCCACACTAGCATCTCTAAAACCCTCCCATTTCTTGACACACACATGAAAACATAAAATTTGATTCAACATTTTGAACTAAACACACATTATACTTTTGAACCCAGAATACCCATACTCATTAAAATGCCTTAAATAACAAAACAAATCGGCAACACACCAACTAACTTCTAGT